CTCGTGACAAGACGCACCTACAGCCGACAAACTTCTTCGCAAACACGACAAAACGTTCTTGCTGAAAATGGAACACAGCAACGTCACTGTCGTTCCCGAAGAATGGTCCCGTCGCTTTTAATGGCGACGTCGATTGCACCTTTCGATTCCAGCGTGCTATTTTCTGATCTTAGACGGTCCCTGAAACATTTGTACCTTCTGTCACTCGAAAAATCATGAATTCTGTCAACGACCTACGTTTCAAGAAATCGAGTTGAAAATTACAGTAGCTACGATCAAGCGACACTAAAAAACAATCATATTCTAATTTGAAACAAGTTTCACGTTACTGAATTCGTTTGTTTTTAATAAATTGCTAAAAACATATTAAAAATGTGCCTCGAGTAAATACACTCGCTTGAAATATTCTGAATCGAATGAAATTTCTAGGTTTTCAAATCAGAACTGCTTCGAGTGCAACAGGTTAATCAATTATAATGATATTGCTTTTGGTGATCAAATTGATGGATGAAAATTTCGTAAACTTTTGAAAATTCAATGGCTTGATGGAACCTATAGTGCGCCGCGCGCCGATAAGTAGCGTTTCCAATAGCGGGAAAGTTGTAAACAAATAATCGGAGGGAATTGAAAACGTTGAAATGGTGTCGGGAATGGGGCAGCGCGATTCGGTTCGATTCGGGCGGCGCAAATGAGTGGAGCGATATTAAAATCTACGTGGGCAACAGATGGGCCTCGATAGCTTTACGGTGTGCGAGCCAATAACGAAAATCATTAAATTAGCTTTAACCGCCGGTGCGCGGCGCACTGTTAACAGCGTACTAATTTTATTATTTAGCGTTTCGCATAAAAATCCCGGAATTCCACCCGTTAGTTCTCTCGTCGAAGCAATTCACAGTATACATTCCTCGGGACACGTTCGTCCGTTTCAGTTCTTCTCATTTTCATTTCATTTTCTTTTGCGTGTTTTACTCGTCCATTTGGAACCTGTTCCTCTAAAGACATTATTTCCCTATTCTTTTAAAATGATATGCAAATGATAAGACTCTAAAAAACTATATAGAGGAACTAGGATGTTCCCAGTAGATATTCAAAGTACTTAATTGTAATCATATTTAATACCTTAGAATTATAAAGATGCAATCAACCCGCATTCGGGTCCGAAAGGTAACACTCGCGACGCACACTGGAAATATTTGCCTCTTTTTATTCGTCCGTCATTTTGTCAGCTACCGAAAATGTAGATTCCTGCACAATGATCAAATTGATGAAACACAACTGATTAAGATAAACTTGACAAAAGTTAGGAGTATATTACTCTCCAAATTAATCTTTCTTAGCACACTTTTGAAAGACTTTAAAGCATCGTTATCAGTTAGGCTCTACTATACCGATTGCCACTGATGATATTTTTACCACAAACTTAGGATTCTAAGCCTGTGATATCACAGCGTTCTTGGTGAGAAGTATTCAAATCAAACGCTGTTACCACGGCTGTAATACAGGAGAATAAGCTACAAAGAATGGTCTTTGTAATGACTCCATATTGGAGCAAATTATGGCCGTACTCGTAATTAATCGTATGGTGATCAAGAATTTAAATCAAAGAGCCATGAAATGTATTATACAATTCTTCAATGCATTTCAGGAATATTGCATGTACCACAGGCGAGGTATCAGAGTAGATCGAAGACCATATGGGGTTTCAATATCGCTAAACACCAGAGATTTTCTCGCACCCTTTGTCGAAATAGAACAGTCGGCTAGAGAACTATAGTAATACCTCAAGTTTTGCAAGATTCTCCGGTCGCAGCACGCTCCGTTAGCGAGAAGGGAGTAGAAATTGCTTTCCTCTGATTAGCTGATTGGCTAAACAATGTATTGTACAATGTTGCAGCGGAGCTCGAGACTGTCCAGCTCATAGAATCATCGAAACAAAGTTTATAGCTGAAAATTGAGAATAAATTACAAATCAAAGAGTCGATGTGTGAGTTATTAAATCAAACTTATTAATGAATTTATTATTTCTGACTTCTTAATAATCGTTAAACACTACCTTGACTATTTTGCCATTTAAATTGTTAATGGAAATAATTAATAACGTCAAACATACAGAGTGATTTTTTAGAGTATGAATGTGTCGAAGAATTGTTACATAGTTAATATTCTATTGATAAGTTTATTATTTTTATCTGTTTAATAATTATAAGAATTTCTTTTCCTAATGATACCTTTTAGTTTTCTCTCTCTCTCTCTCTCTCTCTCTCTCTCTCTCTCTCTCTCTCTCTCTTTCTCTCTCTCTCTCTCTCTCTCTCTCGTCTGTTTTGTAATCTAATGTTTATAGCTAACAGTACTCGAGGTACAGAAAAACTTTTGAAGCAAAAATATTTAGAAAAATTATTTTGGTAAATCACCTTCGTTGTACACATATTTCGATTGTAATGACTCTAGCTCCAGATTTTAAAAAAGTCGTTTGAATATACACAGGCCGTATGAATTTGTGGCTTCAAAATCATAATACAAATGAGGTATGCAGAATACTCGATTCTCACTAAGAAGCTTATATTTTTGAAATATNATCATATTTAATACCTTAGAATTATAAAGATGCAATCAACCCGCATTCGGGTCCGAAAGGTAACACTCGCGACGCACACTGGAAATATTTGCCTCTTTTTATTCGTCCGTCATTTTGTCAGCTACCGAAAATGTAGATTCCTGCACAATGATCAAATTGATGAAACACAACTGATTAAGATAAACTTGACAAAAGTTAGGAGTATATTACTCTCCAAATTAATCTTTCTTAGCACACTTTTGAAAGACTTTAAAGCATCGTTATCAGTTAGGCTCTACTATACCGATTGCCACTGATGATATTTTTACCACAAACTTAGGATTCTAAGCCTGTGATATCACAGCGTTCTTGGTGAGAAGTATTCAAATCAAACGCTGTTACCACGGCTGTAATACAGGAGAATAAGCTACAAAGAATGGTCTTTGTAATGACTCCATATTGGAGCAAATTATGGCCGTACTCGTAATTAATCGTATGGTGATCAAGAATTTAAATCAAAGAGCCATGAAATGTATTATACAATTCTTCAATGCATTTCAGGAATATTGCATGTACCACAGGCGAGGTATCAGAGTAGATCGAAGACCATATGGGGTTTCAATATCGCTAAACACCAGAGATTTTCTCGCACCCTTTGTCGAAATAGAACAGTCGGCTAGAGAACTATAGTAATACCTCAAGTTTTGCAAGATTCTCCGGTCGCAGCACGCTCCGTTAGCGAGAAGGGAGTAGAAATTGCTTTCCTCTGATTAGCTGATTGGCTAAACAATGTATTGTACAATGTTGCAGCGGAGCTCGAGACTGTCCAGCTCATAGAATCATCGAAACAAAGTTTATAGCTGAAAATTGAGAATAAATTACAAATCAAAGAGTCGATGTGTGAGTTATTAAATCAAACTTATTAATGAATTTATTATTTCTGACTTCTTAATAATCGTTAAACACTACCTTGACTATTTTGCCATTTAAATTGTTAATGGAAATAATTAATAACGTCAAACATACAGAGTGATTTTTTAGAGTATGAATGTGTCGAAGAATTGTTACATAGTTAATATTCTATTGATAAGTTTATTATTTTTATCTGTTTAATAATTATAAGAATTTCTTTTCCTAATGATACCTTTTAGTTTTCTCTCTCTCTCTCTCTCTCTCTCTCTCTCTCTCTCTCTCTCTCTCTCTTTCTCTCTCTCTCTCTCTCTCTCTCTCTCGTCTGTTTTGTAATCTAATGTTTATAGCTAACAGTACTCGAGGTACAGAAAAACTTTTGAAGCAAAAATATTTAGAAAAATTATTTTGGTAAATCACCTTCGTTGTACACATATTTCGATTGTAATGACTCTAGCTCCAGATTTTAAAAAAGTCGTTTGAATATACACAGGCCGTATGAATTTGTGGCTTCAAAATCATAATACAAATGAGGTATGCAGAATACTCGATTCTCACTAAGAAGCTTATATTTTTGAAATATCGGTAACGATGAGCGCGATGCGGAAATGGTAATGGGATTTCTGAAGTCCCATTATTGGGTAACAAAAATTTACATTGGGTACTAGATCTATTCCTATAATTTCTACATTCACAGCCATTGGCTCAATATGATCCTCGATTTGAAATAGTTTACTAATCGAGGATAATGCCGATTGTGCAGGTCTCATCACGTCAAGGTTGACTGTTATCGGAGACCCGTTTAGCCTATGTCGAGTAACTGTAGTGGGGAAAAAGTTAATCTTGTAAATTTCAACGACAATTTATTATCGCTTTAACTTAGTTCTGATCAATTTTCGGGGTGAGATTCTGATTTCAGTTTCTAGATCAGTGATACAGTCAACTTTGATCCCTGTTTAAGTCTTTAATACCTGCTTAAGTCTGTGATATTAGCACATGTCGTGCATGGACTAATGAATTGTAAATTTGTAATCACAGACTTGAAATCCGAACAGCCATCGCAAATAATACATTTTTCGCTCTGAATTACCGACTCTAAAAAATGTTCTGGTACATTAGCGGACTCTACCTATGTAGAACGATCAGCTAATAAACTACGCAAGATTGCAACAGTAAAGTGAAGATCCAAGATCCAAGCAGACTAAATTTTACAGCGTTGTCAGCTCGAAGTGTCCAATGTTGTCGCTTTAGAGTATTACCAAAATTATCGATGATCGCAACAAAACCTTCAAGTGATTTCTTTTCTTATCCCGTCTTCTTGTCGAAATTTACGTCATGTACAAATGAAAAATGAAATTTTATCATATAAAAAGTCAGTTTTATTAAATACGATATAGTTTATTTATCATGCTTTATGATATAATTATATTTACGACATTGGACTCGAACTTACGTCTGTGTACCTGCAAATGAAAGATTATTTGCTATGTAATTAAACTTTTTAGGTGGGGGTAAACATAACATGTAGAACATCACAGCCATTCAAAATCACAAAATTTATATAATAACTAAATACACACATATTCAGAAAATTCTTTTTTTATCTTTTAAGACTAGTTTAAACTTTCTAGCGGGGTCAGTTTCCATACAATCCATTTTTTTTTTTTTGTAGAAAACATCGCGTCTTTACAAAAATTCATGTTTCTAAAAACCGAGAGTGACAGAGCAATTTTACTTCCAGATTTACGTTTAGAAAGAAAAATTCTTTACAAGAATTGAACTTTTTAAAATTTTTTTTTTAAGTCAATTCAATGCTTCCGCATTTGTAGAAAAGCTATCCGAAAGATCGGTGATGATGCTAACTTTGTTGTATCCTGTAGTTATTGCTCTCTCAATCGTCCTGTATTTAAGATATAGTCACGCGAATCCTGATACTTTCATTTTGATAATTGAGCTCTAATTCGGGACCAACTGGGAATTCCGGAGTCACATGTCACACTTGAACATGCCTGTTCTACAAGAATCGTCCGTTGGATATTGTAAATCAGAAAAAATGTTTATATTTGTTCGACAATAAATCATTCTCTAAAACCTTAACACCTTTAGATAAGTACTACGCTTTCCATTATATTGAAACTAAACTATATATGGAGCACTGGTGTGTTGTACGAATTTACAGTCTACATATTTATAAAGTAATTGAAGGAAAGATTAAGTATCACAACCATGTACTATTTAAGATTTTTCAACTATATAACAAGGAAATTTTATAAACATGGATTTAACTGTACACGTGTCAATATTCGTAAGAGACACATGTGAAACCTTCTGTATTTACTTTGATAACAACGCTCTTCAATTTGGAATTGTTAATCATGTTATATCTTTTAGGTGATGCGAACGTGATAACGTATTTACGCACAACTTGAAACTTAAAATTTCAATACGTTTCGTGATAAGTTTTAAGTCTCGGAATTTTTAGATCAATGAACCTTCTTTTTAACATTATTACATACTACCGTCTTTATTCTATATCTTAAAATCACATAACTAGTTTTAAATTAGAAATCACTTAGGTTTAATTATCCAGTGGTACCTAATATTACGTAGATTCCTTTAAACAGAGAAAAAATAGAAGATGAAAAAAAATTGTATAGATTTTTTATATATTTCATTACATGTATTCAAACGTTAATAATAATTAATTAACAATAATCATAGTTGACATATAATACAATAAGAGTAATAATTAATTAAGAAACTAATTATCTTTCTTTTCTGTGACAGCTGCCTCAATGCCCTAAAGTTCCTAGCAATCCTACAGAGTTCGCCTGTTTTATTGATATTTTAAATCAAAAAAATTCGAGAAAAATATTTTGTATTACTTTTTATCAGAAGCTGGACGTGTACGTCACCTTCATTATTACTAGTTATATTTTTCTTTCGTCTTTTTAAAACTCTTTTTTTCTTTTCTTAACCACGAGTTAAATTACAATAGTCATTTGAATAGTTTATATATAAATGATTCAACATTTAAGCCCTTTCACAAAATCACTATCTGTGCTATATATTTCAGATAAATCATGTGAGTAGTACTTGTATTTAAATATGCATTAGAAAATTGCATGAAATTGTGTTACCATAAGCATGGACGTCAAATCGTTCATAAAAACACTCGTAAACATTGCAATAATTACTTTTTGAAGCTATAGTTTCCTCTAACTCATACTAACATGGTATATGTAAAAAAAAACTGCAATGATATTTATGTTAAACGTGCAAATCGTAAATACTTATGAAAATCTTTAGTAAACATTTCACTAATCATTGTAAAAGCTTATATGGAACATGTAAAAAGCTACGTTCCTAGAAAGAGATGACAGCTCTTATAGAAATACTCCAGTGAGTCATGCAGCAGAATAACATCTACAATATCTTTACTATAGTTTTCAACAGTAATTGGAAAATCTGATTTACTTGTGCATTACTATAATTTATACGCTCTATTTCCCTGTTATTGGAAATTAAGAGATATATGTTATCAATATAGTTTGGAAACGGAAATAATTTGCACGTTCATAATATTTAATAAGGAATGAGAAATATGAACATTTCCTTTCCTTGGCAATGGTATCAATTGTTAGTAGTGTTCACATATACTAAAGCTTCGCGCAAAAATGGAAGCTTAAAAGTAAAAAAACAATATAAAATAGGCAATCATAAATGTACCAATCTCAAAACAAAATTAATCTGAAGCAATGTCATGATCGTATTTTTAAAGTGAAACAAATGAACCTTTGTAAAAATGCAAAGCACATTTACAATGGTTAGCACTATTCGCTATAGTTAATTCAGTGGATCAACTTCAACATAATCATAGATGAATGATGTATTAGTAGCATCAACCAAAATGTCAGCCGACGTCAGTTCAATGTTTGGATTACGCCATGCATTAATATCAGTTCCACCAATATCCAGACCGAGTCGTAAGTTAGCTGGTGTATTGCCAATAACAAAATGGTCTTCGGTCAAGGGCAAAGCATCTTTTAAAAGAAGCCTGTAAAACATATAGCATAAATAATTAAAAAATAGTGTAATTAAGATACATTAACAACAACGTGTATATGAGAAATTAAAAGAATTACATAATGACGTACCAAATGTTTTCCTCAGCAACAATGTGAACCTTTGGTACAGGAAATCCATTGAATGGAGAAGCGACAGGTAATGTGTATGCTCCCATATTTTCAAAAATTATCCAATCACCAAGATCCATTTCATGCATTAAAACATTTTCTGCGACTTGATCCAAACCATCACATGTAGGTCCCCAGATACTTGAGGAAATCATCTTACCGTAACCTTTCTGTTAGGAGCAATACGATTGTTATGAGAAACGAATCTTTCCACAAGTCTAATGTTACATAGTAAATAATTTGATATTTATAAATCTTTCTACCTACCTTTAAAGGTACAGGAGTAACATGTTGATGATCATAAAGTAAACAATTGAAGGAGCCATAAACGCCATCATTGATATAATACATATTATGTGTGATTGTGTTTGGTGAATTTTCGTTGCCACGCACTGCACGTTTGCTATGAATACTTGTAGCAAGTGTAAATGCAGATGCAACATAAAATCGGCCAGGTTCAGCAATTACATGAACAGCATCAGCTGAAAATAATCATTTATTAAATGATATTGAAAGTAAAAACGTAACGAATATTTTGAATGACTATATTAGTTGCTTACTATTGAAATATTCGTCAAGTGCTTTGTTAATAACGTCAGCAATTTTATCAATACTGGTGCCTTTATTTCCTGGGTAGCCACCGCCAATATCTAGCAAATATGGTTTAAAACCAAGATCTGTCGCCAAGTCGAACAATGTTTTGGCATGCCGTATAGCTCGATAAAATACTGGTGGATCTTGACAACCGGAACCAACATGGAAACTGATACCAACAACGGTAAGTCCTAGCATACGTGCAAGATGCAAAAGATTAGGAGCTTCATATATAGGATCACAACCAAATTTCATGCCCAACTGACATTGAGCATGTTCTGCATCGCAACGAATTCTAATAACGATCTGAAATTAATGATTTATATATTATATTAATTTATGGTTCAAAAATTTGTGTAACATCACTTATAAATGAGGAAAATATTCTTCCATTACCTTAGCATCAGGATGAAGCTTCTTGATTTTATGTAACTCGCTTTCATTGTCCACTGTCATTGTATCCACTCCAACTGCAGCAGCATGGCGAATATGTGATGCAGGCTTTGCTGGATTAGCAAATATAATTTTTGACGAATCTACTCCAACACTTAATACTTTATTAATCTCCGTCTAGAGTTAAAAATAGTAAAAAATCCATGTTCATTTTTTTATTGTGAATAATTATTAGTATTAATAATGCAAGATCCTATTACACTTACTTTTGATGCACAATCGAAACCAATACCAAGAGCAGCTAGTACCTCAATTACAACTAAGTTATCATTGCACTTCACAGCTGAAATTTATGAAAAAAGATTCAATTAATTTTTAACTTACAATAGAATGTTATTATCTATAATGCTATACAATCATATTACCATAGTATGGGTTAACACGTGGTAGTTTTTCTTTCCAAATTTGGTGTTTTTGAACAATATCTCCAATATCAAGTACATAAAAAGCTTCTTCTTGCAATCCACTCAATGCAATATCTTTGATGACGCTCATAACATTTGACGCACTGTCCAAAACATGGATGCGTTCGTCCAAATTTGTGACCTTCATCTTGATTGTTTTGAATTTCTAAGAGATACTCTGTAGGCACTAGGCAGCAAACTAAATTGAACAGAATTATTCAATTATATTTTTTATATTAATAATTAGTTGATTACTTTAATTTTATGATTATTAATCATAACTACATACGAGGCAGCTGTCAACGAGAATTGTGTGAGTCGTGGGGAGGCGGGTTAAGACAAGATCACTATGGGGGTGCTAGCAAAGCCACGGGGGCTCTGCGTTCAGGGCCAACTTCCAGTTGCCACAGGTATTCACACACCCACCAATAGACTGGCCTACCAGCCTATCGCAGATAGAACCCTGTAACAAAGAGTTTGTCTTATAAATTACTTTTCTTCTATTTCGATACATTGATTTTTCTAATGACAAGTATAAAAAATTTTGCTATATTTCTGAATTAATTTTATCTTATCACGTGTATTATCAAATTTAATGACATATATTTCTTATCTCTGTCTAGAAATATATTATAATTTTTTTAGGATAGTTAAATGCATGAAGTATTTAGAAACCTATATAAACTCAAAAAGAAATACATACTTTACTTCTTGAAATATATTTGTGACACCTACCTGATTTTGAAAAGTAATTCTCGTAACTTTTATATAACAATTTCACAAATAAAGTATAATGGTAAAAATTTGGGAACGTTGAATTTTTTGTAAGACAACTCTATCTTTGCAATAACTTGATTAAAACAATTATACAATACAAAAAGAATAAATTATGAAGTTGTTACACTGGTTTACAACTTGAATCGTTGTTTAATAAAGAGGAGTTGTGGTCTGTCGAGAGTACAAGACAATACTGAATCTCAAGCATTTATTTGGGCCACTATTTATACGAGAAAGATAAGTGCTATCAGGCAGGCTTTGCGTGGTACCAAGTCTACTTCATGGAACAAAGCTTATCTGACGGCCAAGAGATTCTTGTTTCACGCAGATCCAATTGGACATGGAGGGGAAATGCACACGCCACTCTAAGATCAAGTCTTCATTGGGGGCATGGAAATACCATGTTTAATCTATATTAGCTGAAATTTTCTGATTACAATCATTCATCAAAAGCATTTAACTGGTTACAGATAACGTCTGAATGAGTTCTAAAATACGAGTGTGTAATGGCATACATAAGGCTCATAATATGAATATAGTATCTAAATTGATCTTGATATTTATATAACTATAATTGTATCAGAAAAGAAATTGTAGTAATAGAGAAAAATTATAAAATATAAATATTCAAATAAAAAACAGAAACAACATAGTAATATCTTCGGATGAATCATGTGTAATACTAGACATCATTATATAAATAATTATATAAATATATAAAATAAATACATAAAATGTATATACATATAATAGTTATAACAGTTTTATATATATACTTTGATTCAGTATTTCTGTGTTAATAATATAACAATTTTATTATTAAAGGAGAAGAATATGATCAGTAAAATAAATAAAATCTATTACATTGAAATTTATGATGATACATTTCATTTATGTGAATATGTATGTGTAAGTCAGTTCAATATGTT